GATCCCCCAGTTCACGGGGTGGCTTTTCCCAGGATTTCACCCCCATGTCCCTCAGGTTTTCTCTTGGCTGGGCAGGGATGTCACTGTCCCCTGAGCTCTGCCACCCCCCCTGCCCCTGTGCTCCCCTCCACCCCAAATCCTTGGGGTGAAACCTCTGCTCCAAACCCAGTTCTCCCAGTGCCTCCAGTGGGGAAAGGAGCTCTCCCAGTAACCCAGGGCACGGTCCCACCAGCTGCAGGAGGAACCAGGAAGGTTCTTTCATCAGAGACCTCTTTGTAACCAGAAAAATTATGAAAATGGACCATATTAACCTATTTTTTTAATACCGAAGTGCTGCACCCCTGGGTCCTCAGGACTTTTCTTGACTCTTTGGAGTCTTCCAGTGCCCTGGCCCATCACCAGCTTTAGGGTTTCCTTCTATTTTTTATCTTCTGGGAATGAGAAGAATCAGCATTTTTTTGCCTCCTGCTCTGATAACCCAAATTCATCTCCATGATGGAGCCTCCATTGGAAAAAAAAACCCCAACCAACCCCTAAACTTGGGGTGGCAAGAACATCCCCCAGGCTGGAGAAGGATCTCCCTCAGCTTTAAAAACTGGTGAATGTTTTAGCAGTGACCATCTGGAAACCTTCTTGAGGTTTTAAACATAAGGACATAAGGAATTCTTTATGATGAGGGTGTTGAGACAGTGTCCCAGGTTGGCCAGAGAAGCTGTGGCTGCTCCTCCCTGGAAGTGTTGGTGGCCAGGTTGGATGAGGCTTTGAGCAACCTGGTCTAGTGGAAGGTGTCCCTGCTGCTGGCAGGGGGGTTGGGACTGGATGAGCTTTAAGGTCCCTTCCAACCCAAACCAGTGTGGGATTCCCTGATCTCTCGAGATGATTCTCTGATCTCTCCAGATGTTGGGAGAAATAATGTGAAATCTCCTCCAGCATTTAGGGATGGAGGTCTCCTGCTCCAAGGATGGAGACAATTTGAGACGGCCCATGGGCACTGCTCCCTCCTGGAAGGCACCAGCAGATGGAAAATCCAGCACCAAACACACGGATGTTTCCTTCAGGGAGCAAAAATCTTCGTGTTTTTCTGGGGTCGTTGGGTTTTTTGGGTTGAAATCCCAACGGTCGCTGCTACGGTCGTTACAGTTTCCAAACCAGCAGCACGTGGTGACTTGACCCTCAAGGAGGAAACCTTGTTTTTTGCTTTTGATACAAAAATTAGGATATTTATATATATTCACAGAGAGAGTGAGCTTTTTCCCTTCTCTTTTTTCCTCATTTTTCTCCTTTTTTTCTTCTTTTTTTTTCTCCTTTTTTCTTTCTCTGTTTTTTCTTTTATTTTCTTTTTTCTCCCTTTTTTCTCCTTTTCTCCCTTTATTTTTTCTCCTTTTTTCTCCCTTTATTTTTTCTCCCCTTTTTTTTCCCTTTACTTTTTCTCCTTTTTTCTTCCCTTTATTTTTTCTCCCTTTATTTTTTCTCCTTTTTTTCTCCCCTTTTTCCTCCCTTTATTTTTTCTTTTTTTTCTCCCTTTATTTTTTTCTCCTTTTTTTCTCCCCTTTCTCCTTTTTTCTCCCTTTTTTTCTCCCCTTTTTTTCCCTTTTTTCTCCCTTTATTTTTTCTCCTTTTTACTCCCCTTTCTCCTTTTATTTTTTCTCCTTTTTTCTTCCCTTTATTTTTTCTCCCTTTATTTTTTCTCCTTTTTTTCTCCCCTTTTTCCTCCCTTTATTTTTTCTTTTTTTTCTCCCTTTATTTTTTTCTCCTTTTTTTCTCCCCTTTCTCCTTTTTTCTCCCTTTTTTTCTCCCCTTTTTTTCTCCTTTTTTCTCCCTTTATTTTTTTCTCCCCCTTTTTCTCCCTTTATTTTTTCTCCTTTTCTCCCTTTATTTTTTTCTCCTTTTTTTCTCCCCTTTTTTTCCCTTTTTTCTCCCTTTATTTTTTCTCCTTTTTACTCCCCTTTCTCCTTTTATTTTTTCTCCTTTTTTTCTCCCTTTATTTTTTCTCCCTTTATTTTTTTCTCCTTTTTTATCCCTTTATTTTTTCTCCTTTTTTCCTCCCTTTATTTTTTCTCCCTTTATTTTTTTCTCCTTTTTTTTTATCCTTTTTTTTCTCCTTTTTTTCTCCTTTTTAAATATATATATATATATATTTTTTTTTTTTTTAAGAGCTGGCCAACAGAAAAATGTGAAACCATTTCCCTGCATGTTCAGAAAAACTTGTGCTTGTGGGATTTTGGTGATTTTTTGTTTTGTTTTTTTTTTTTTTTTCAGGGATGAAATCCAGGATATTTTTTTCTTTTTTCTTTTTTTTTTTTTTTACAAAAAAAAGCGCCTTTACTCCCTTCAAGAAGAAGAAGAAGAAAAAAAAAAAAAAAGAGATTTACAAACAAAATAACAACCTGTATCAACTCTCCAGCTGAGAGATGGCAGGACAATATTAATCCAAACATCACGCTATTTAATTCCCCAATAAAACATTGGAAAAAAAAAACCCCAAAAAACAAACAAACAAACAAACAAACAAAAAAGGAGCCGACAGTATCTGCACTAAACACTTTGCTACATATAAAATCTCCAGCTAATATGAAGCTCATGGTACCAACCTCTAAAACAGTTAAGATATATACACATAATTTTTTTTTTTGGGGGGGAAAGGGGGTATATTAACAAACAGAATATTACAAAATATTAAAGAAGGCAACTCTGCTGTCATTTGTTTCGGGATGTGGAATTTGTTTTCTTGGTGGTGGTTGTTGTGGGGTTTGGTTTTTTGTTGTCTGTTTCATTTGAAGTTGGCGTAGTCTGAGAAGGCGTCGATATATTCCTGCACCACCTTGTAGCAGAATTCGTACTGTTCCTGGGGGATTTAAGGAAAGCAAAGAGTTAAACCATTAAAATTCATGTCATTTCATGCTTCTGTGAGTAACTGGGACCAAGCGTGGTCAGGTGTCCTCAGCCCAGATCATAGAATCACAGACTGGTTTGGGTTGGAAGGGACCTTCAAGCTCATCCAGTTCCAACCCCCCTGCCAGCAGCAGGGACACCTTCCACTAGACCAGGTTGCTCAAAGCCTCATCCAACCTGGCCTTCAACACTTCCAGGGAGGAGCAGCCACAGCTTCTCTGGCCAACCTGTTCCCACCCTCACAGTGAAGAACTTCTTCCTAATATCTCATCTAAACCTGCCCTCTTTCAGCTTAAACCCATTTCCCCTTGTTTTGTCATTAACTGCCCTTATGAAAAGTCCTTCCCCAGCTTTCTTGTAGCCCCTTCAGGTACTGGGAGGCTGCTAGAAGGTCTCTCTGGAGCCTTCTCTTCTCCAGGCTGAACAGCCCCAACTCTTTCAGCCTGTCTTCATAGATCAAGGGCAAGGAACTGGATTCCTACCCATAAGCATGTTCCACCTCTTTTGTGCCCCCCAAACCCACCCTCCTTGCTGGAGTGCCACCAGCAAAAGAAACTCTGCTTTCTCCTTCCCCTCCAAGGTCTTATTTTGACCCCAAAAAGACTTTTTTAAAAAATCCTTGAGCATCTTTGCAAACCCCTCTAGCAGGACCTCGTCTAGTCCCACCTTCTCCTCCCCTCCCTGGCACGCTGCCCGCCCAAGCCCACGGCACAGTTGCTCCAGGAGAGATTTCCAGGCTCCTGGAGCTCAAAAATACGTGGGCTGTGGCTGAGGATGTCTCCAAAGAGGCTCCTACAGCTTCTATCAGTGGTCAAAAGGGGCTTAATGCCTTCAGCCAGCCAAGCTCCACTCTTCCAGTTGTCTAACAGGAGGAAGGGGAGATATCTCCTGACCCATCTCCATCCCTGACTCTTTCATGGAGAGAGAGAACCTTCAGGTGAGGATGTTTTTGCTCAACACTGAGTCCCCAGCCCGTTCCCACTGAGGTCTGGGGTGGCAGGAGAAGCCTGTAGGTGTGCTCAGCTGCACTTACCAGTGTCTGCACCATATGTGGCCTCTGTAATCTTAAACTCTTCACCGTCTGAAAGACATCAAGAATCCCTTCTGCCTTCACCCTTTCCAGGACAGTGCTCAGCGCACAGAAGGTGCCTGTTCTTCCTGCTCCAGCACTGCCAAAGAGAAACCAGAAGGTAAAGGAAACCAGAAGGCAAAGGAAAACATCTGTCTTGACTGTGTTGGCTTTGCTCAGGGGACAATCCATAGGGGAACCACCAGAGAACTGGAGGAGTCCCCAGTCCTGCCCCAGGTTCTCCTAGTTTGTCCAGAACACACTCTACAAGACTGAAGCCTCTTAGCTGAGCAGGAAAACCCCATAAAACATCTGCTGAGGGTGCTCCTGCTCAGCCCAAGGCTTCTGAGGGACCTTTGACCATCTCCCAAGCTCCCTGCAGAGCAGGTCCCCTTGGAGGGGTGACCAAGCTCTGCTCCACCCAGGCTTTACCTGCAGTGCACAGTGATTGGGTGGTTGCCAGACTGCTGCTGCTGCTTCTGCACAGCTGCGATGATGTTGATCATTCCCTTCCCATCCCCAGGGATCCCAACTTCTGGCCAACCATGGAAATGAAACTGCCGGATCTGTCGGTTCTTGTTTTCCTGGTGGAAGAGCACAACTGGAGATCAGTAAGTTGGTGGGAGACCTGTATCAAGAAACCCATCAGCTCAAGGCTTTGGGAAAACCATCTACTTAGGGAAGCTTGTGGAGGGGAGACATTCCCATGGCATGGAGCAGGGTGGGACACGGGGAATGGGGTAGAAGAGGGAGGCTGGGTCGTGGGCACAGGGACTAGGAAGAAGGAGGATGAGGTCTGCTTGGTGGCAGCACGGCAGAGGGGATGGATGAGAAGACATCAGCAGGACAGGAACCCTCAGAGGTGGGAGGTAACAGTAGGGAAGAAGGTGGGATTGCAGGGGATGGACACTGCTTTGGGATGATGGGGAGATGATGGAGTTGAAGATGACAGAGGGAGGGTTCAGAACTTGCAAGAGGAACCACAAAGCACTGTAAACACCATCGGGGGTTGATGACAGCCAAACCCAAGAGCACCCAGAGCTCCCCACAGGGAGAGGCCCAGACTCTTACCCTGGTGTTCGTTACCAGCAGGTCCCGCACTGTATAGCTCTCACACTCCTCCTCTTTCTTCAGCTCCACAGTGATGTCTCCATAGGACACTGAGCCATCAGATGGCCAGTACTGGGCACACTTCTCCTGAGGAAGCATTACAGGAGGAGACAGGGTGAACAATCCCTACTTTTCCCATGGGCTTGAATGGAAGGAGTCTTCTCCTGCAGCTGGCAGCTGCCCAAAGCCACGTGGGATCTTATAGACTGGTTTGGGTTGGAAGGGACCTTAAAGATCATCCAGTTCCAACCCCCCTGCCAGCAGCAGGGACACCTTCCACTAGACCAGGTTGCTCAAAGCCTCATCCAACCTGGCCTTCAACACTTCCAGGGAGGAGCAGCCACAGCTTCTCTGGCCAACCTGGGCCAGAGTCTCACCACCCTCCCAGGAAAGAACTTCTTTCTCAGATCTCATCTAACTCTACCCTCTTCCAGTTCAAAACTGTTACCCCTTGTCCTATCACCAACTCATGGGTTCGCTTCGGAGATGAAATGCCCACTACACTCAGAGGTGCTTTAAGAACTGAGGGTCCAGAGTTGGTTTATTGAACGTCTCCCCACCTTGGGTCTACCAACATCTGGATTCTTTGTGTTAGAAGTAGAGGCTGAAATATGTCTCCTGCGTGGCTTTGTTAGAGAAAGGGTGAAAGAGCACCCAAGGCGTGCGGCGCCGGCAGCGCCATGGCCATCGGGAGGTTTTCCAGGGGTCACACTGGTTTATTTTACCAGTGTTCCAGTTCACTTACCTGGCCTCTCTCCTCCAGCTCTGTTAGCATCACTATGGAGCAGGATTTCCACTCCCAGATCATCCTCCAGAAGTCCTCTATCGTGTGCTGCAGTGGTCCTTGGCTGGCGATGTAGGAGTCCTTCTGGCGATAACCCTGCCGTCGGGAAAAAAAGGGTTAGTGGGGAACTGGCAGCACTGGGATGCCAGGAACAGCAGGAGGAACATCCTTGGACATGGTCAGGTTACCAAGCTCAGTTAAACTTTGGGAGCATGATGACTGTCCATGGGAATGACCACAGCCTGGGCAGGTCACATCCCCCACCCCACGCAGGCACGGCCGTATACATTTGGTGAAGAAAGATTTGGGTTTCCACCACCCCTCAGCGATGTGGCAGAGTCTGAGTGCTGGAGCAGAGCCTGGCCTAAGCTCCAGGGACTTCAAGTATGGTTTTTGGAAGAAGTAAACAAAACTAGATGGCCTTTAAGGTCATCTTCCAACCTAAAGCATTCTACTGACCCTCAGGGGTCTGTATTGGGTCCAGCGCTGTATAAGATCTTTATTGGCAACACGGACAGCGGGATGGAGTGCACCCTCAGCAAGTTTGGTG